GATCGGGAGGTGTCCCGTGGTGTCCCGTGGTGTCCTGTGGTGGCCCGTGGTGTCCCGTGGTGTCCCGTTGAGTGAGATCGATAGTGAGACCGATAGTGAGGTCGAGAGATGTCCCGTGGTGGTCCGTGGTGGCCCGTTGAGTGAGATCGATAGTGACATCGATTGAGTCAGATGTTGGTTCCCCCCCTCTCCCCCCCACAACCTCCTTGTCACCCGAAGGGTGGTCGTATAGGTGTTCAAAAGTTCAGGAATGGCAGGGAGGAGGAGAGGGGGACGGAGGAGGTGAAGGGGAAGGGGAGAATCAGAGCGTGAATTACCTACCCCGCTTTCGCTTCCAGGCAAAACCAAGCCATACCACGCGCCTCCTCGTCAAGGGGCCTGACCAGTACAGGCTGCAATTTGGCATCGTTTGGTATCTCTTGGAAGCGAGGGTGGTCAAAAGCGAGGTAGGTTTGTTTTCCCCCTAGAGAAGGAGGCAGGATGGAAGAGAAATAGGAGGAGGAGGAGGAGGAGGGATGAGGCGGTGATGTAAAGGCTACCCCTCTTGGCGTGCCAGGATGGTTGGCAAGGCCGGCCGTCGGCGGCGACGACCGCGCGACCTGGCCAGGAGCCCGCGGTTGTGCCAGGGGACGGGGCACGATCGCGGAGGGCGGTGTTCGGAGCTCAGGATCCCACGTGCGATTTGTGAAGGACGGAGGTTGGATGGGGTCGAATGGTGGCGGCTCTCTTTCTCAGTTGCGAGATTGAGCGGGTTCGCAACGGTATAGGCCCAAGGCGCTCAGCCAGAGCGAGGCTAATCCGTGGTTCGGCGACTCCCCGGGGGCCAGAATGAGAGGGTTGAACAACATAGTTTTCACATCTCTTCATTCGGAGCTGAATGGTAGTACAAGGTCCCAGAAGGACAGCAAACCCACATCGTGAACTGGTCAGCTCCTGTGGCAGGCGTCTGTCTTAGTCTCGATGCCGTCGAGTCCGGAGCGACCCCGCGCTCCTGTCCGCGTCTGCGGAAGCCAAGAACCAGAGTGGAAGGAACATCTCAGGCCGCGATATTGAGCAGAGTGTGTGTGTGTGTGTGTGTGTGTGTGTTTGTGTGTGCGTAAACGCTTGACTTCTCGCTGTTAGTAGGCTCATGTTCAGAGATGCGCTCGTGCTTTTCATCGAAAGCCTGCGTTCGCGCTGTTTTTCGGCGACGTCCAGCTTGCTGGTTCCCGCTGGCTCAAGTCAGTTTGTCTAGCATATTACGTAAACTTTCTTCAGCACCGTACATGTGTTGACCTTTCGCAGATGGCACGAGCTCTTCTGCTCGCCAGCCTCGTCCAGGCCAGCAGTGCATCTGGCTTGGCCTCTTCGGGCGACCTGGAGTTGATGCAGATCTCGAGGACGATCCCCACAACCTCGAAGGATGAGCTGGGGAGGGACTTCTTCACGTATGCCGGTGTGCCCGTGTTCCCCCGTACGGTCAGCAATAGACGCGAGATGGGGTCTTACAAGACTTGGATGTTCATTCTCAAAAAGCATGCTACGGATCTGGAGGTCCTGGGAAGACAGAACTGCATTAACATACGCTTTCGGAGCTCCGCGCGGATTTCTGGGATCGGTGCTGGGTACTCCTGGAAGAGCCTCCGGCGCCGTCCCTGGCGTGCTCTTTGCCAGGGGGGCTCCGGCGCGATCCAGGAATTCCTGGCGGTCCTCCGAAGGTTTAAGATTGTTACCTAACAGCTTTTGCTGATAGGTTTCTAGTAGGGTCAAAGGAGAGCATCATGACTCCTCAGGGGGGTCTGGGCGGGTGCCGGGGAGGAGGGCCGGGAACAGAGCCGGGCTCGTTTTAAGCCAACAGTCACACACTTCGTGCTCTTCGATTTCCCAGAACTCCATTCCCGGGCCACATTTTGAATAACCGGAGCCAACTGTAGGCCACTTCGTGCTCTTCGACTTCCCAGAACTCCATTCCCGGGCCACATTTTGGATGCCCGGAGCCAACTGTAGGCCACTTCGTGCTCTTCGAGTTCCCAGAACTCCATTCCCGGGCCACATTCCTGGGCATGATTTTGAATGCCCGGAGCCAACTGTAGGCCACTTCGTGGTCTTCGAGTTCCCAGAACTCCATTCCTGGGCATGATTTTGAATGCCCGGAGCCAACTGTAGGCCACTTCGTGTTCTTCGAGTTCCCAGAATTCCATTCCCGGGCCACATTTTGAATGCTGAGGCAGGCTGAGGCTGAGGCTGAGGCAGGCTGAGGCTGAGGCAGGCTGAGGCTGAGGCCGAGGCTGAAGGCAGACTGAGGCTGAGGCTGAAGCAGGCTGAGGCTGAGGCTGAGGCAGGCTGAGGCTGAGGCTGAGGCAGGCTGATGCTGAGGCAGGCTGAGGCTGAGGCTGAGGCTGATGCAGGCTGAGGCTGAGGCAGGCTGAGGCTGAGGCTGAGGCCAAGGCTGAAGGCAGACTGAGGCTGAGGCTGAGGCTGAGGCTGAGGCTGAGGCTGAGGCTGAGGCTGCAGGCTGAGGCTGAGGCTGAGGCTGAGGCTGAGGCTGATGCAGGCTGAGGCTGAGGCAGGCTGAGGCTGAGGCCGAGGCTGAAGGCAGACTGAGGCTGAGGCTGAAGCAGGCTGAGGCTGAGGCTGAGGCTGAGGCTGAGGCTGAGGCAGGCTGATGCTGAGGCAGGCTGAGGCTGAGGCTGAGGCTGATGCAGGCTGAGGCTGAGGCTGAGGCTGAGGCTGAGGCTGAGGCTGAGGCTGAGGCTGAGGCTGAGGCTGAGGCTGCTGAGGCTGAGGCTGAGGCTGAGGCTGAGGCTGAGGCAGGCTGAGGCTGAGGCTGAGGCTGAGGCTGAGGCTGAGGCCGAGGCTGAAGGCAGACTGAGGCTGAGGCTGAAGCAGGCTGAGGCTGAGGCTGAGGCAGGCTGAGGCTGAGGCTGAGGCAGGCTGAGGCTGAGGCTGTGACTGCGACTGCCGTTGCGACTGCGACTGTCATCGCGAATGCGACTACGACTGCGAGAACAGCAGAGTTCTACAACTGGGATTCTCATCCGAATCTTAAGGGGAATGCTTCCAGATGTGCTCCTACACATCGCTGTTAGGTTGCTTTGCCGTGATAATTTTTGTTTCGAGAGGCGGAAGCTCTTCTTCAGGAGCTTCACCCGCCGTCGATGAAGACCAACCCAGGCAACGGCGAGTTGCCCTTTGTGGAGGGACGCTTGACCGTCGACGAGCTGATGGTGTTGCTCGAGACCTACATCGGGCTCGTGAAGTTGGTCGAAGAGGACATTCTTGAGAGCAGGATCCCGGAGCACATGGATGAAGAACAGCACCTGGAGAGGCGGACCTACCCTTGGGGCATCCAAGACATCAATGCGAACGTGGTCCGGGGACGGGGCGTAGGGGTGAGAGTTTTTATTTTGGATACAGGTATTCGCATTACCCACGTTGAGTTCGGCGGCCGGGCCTTCGCTGGAGTGGACGTCTCCACCGGCTCCTTGGTGATATGCCCGAACAGAAGCACCACGTGCGCTAATGACACCCATGGTCATGGCACCCACTGCGCAGGTACGGTGGGGGCCGCGACGTACGGCGTCGCGGATGGTGCGACCTTGTGGTCAATGAAGGTCCTTGACGACAATGGCAATGGCTACACGTCTTGGTCCATCGCAGCCGAGCAGTATATCTTGGCGTCTGCCCCAAGACCAGCGGTGGTTAGCATGAGTCTCGGTGGCGCTGGCAATAACAATGCGGAGAAGCTCTCTAGCCCCAGGGGGGTAGCGTATTGCTTCCGAAAAGTATATCGTTGTACTGTTCCCCATCTCTGAGAGTACTCTGTTGCATTGCTCTCCCGAAGGGAGAACGCTGTATTGCATTGTTCTCCAGACGGGACCCGCCCAGCGGCCTTGAAGTGGTCGCCCACAGGGCCTGGATGTGAACACCCAAAGGGCCTGGAGGTAATCACCGAAGAGGCTGGGGGTAGCAATCCAGAAAGCCTGAGGTGACCCTTGTGGAGGTAATCACGCAGAGGCTGGAGGTATGTGTATATATATATATATATATATTTATGATCCGGGGTCGACGGTTCACAGGCTACCCCCACCCCAGGGGGATGGGTCCCAACGTTCCACAGGCACCTCCCCCCGATGGGATGGGGGCGGCGGCGACGACGACGACGACGACGACGACGACGACTACGGTGACGACGACCGCGACCACGACGACGACCACGACGACGACGACGTCGACGACCACGACGACGACCACGGCGACGACGACGTCGACGACCACGGCGACGACCACGACCGACGACCGACGACCGACGACCGACGACCGACGACGACGGCGGCGACCACGACCGACGACCGACGACCGACGACGACGATGACGACGGCACCGCAGCACCACCCACACCTACGGGGGGAGGGGCGGGGGCTACTCAGTACCCCTTTCCACCACGCCACGCCCACAGGGCCATAACCACAGGGGGGGGCGATTCAATGTGCGAGGTTTTCGCAAGGCTCGCTGGCGTACCCATTCAGTGAGGGGGGGGCGCCCGATCTCATTAGCATTGGGGGGGGGCGGAGCCCTGGATCATATACGCTCCTGTGGTAGGGTGTGGGGCGCGGTGGGGGATGCTGGGTCCAGCGGTTGTGGTTGTGTAGCCTTGCGGTGAGGGTGTACAGTGTCGTGTTGCCCACGGACCAGGTGTCGGTGGGCCTCAAGTGGGCCCGACTGGCATTTGTGGCTCGACGTTGGGCGCCCGCAAGGGTGACGTGAAATACTTTCCTTGGTCTGTGGGCCTCATGGGGGAGGGAGCCGATTGCCGCGTCCACCGATGAGGGACTGCTCAGTCCTTCATCGGTGGACTCGCCCACCTGGGCTTTGCTTGCCACTCTCGACGTAGGGTCCTAATTTTCTTGTCGACGACGTCTTGGGCGGGGAGGGACTGTCCTAGGAGCCGACATTAGATTCAGGGGGACGGGAGCGTGTAGGGTGCATGGTGTCGGGTCCCGGGAGGGCCAGGAGGGTCTCGTCGGTGAGGGTGAAGGGGGTAGGACGTACGGCCCAGCGGACCTGGCGTTTGTCGGGGTGGAAGGTGCAGGGTGTTGCACCTGCGGCGTGAGGTGGAAGCGGCAGGCAATCAAGCGGCCGTGGAGGGCAGGCCCGATTTTACAGGAGGCTCGACCTGATCAGGCGATTTGGGCTGTCTGGGGAGGCCCCGCAATGGAGGCGTAGGGATCAGAGGAGACAGCCTGCTTTGAGTGGAAAGAGGGGCAGCGCCCTGCGCGCGCCAGGAAGTCGGTGAGGGCGCAGGAGGCAGGGTATAGAGCCTGGCGTCGTTGGGTTTTTCTCACGGCCGCTGGGTGGTTCGCCTGTCGGTAGAGGAGTGCAATGAAGGAAAAACTCTCCTTTCGGGAGGAACCCGATACTCCCCTGGGCCGTCGACGCTCTAGTAGATGATGGCATCACCGTGGTGGTGGCTGCAGGGAACGAGAACGCAGATGCATGCGGATTCAACCCTGCATGGATCACGTCGGCGATTACGGTGGCATCTTATGCCCAGTATGGGGCCAGAGAGGGGCCCTTGCGCCGGGCGGTGGCAAAGTCTTGGTTCAGCAACTACGGCCCTTGCGTCGACGTCTGGGCTCCGGGCTCGACCATCCTCTCGGCGTCCCACTCGAGCGACACGTCGACCGTCTTTAAGAGTGGCACGTCCATGGCCTGTCCGCACGTTGCGGGGCTCGCTGCCATCATGTACGAGGCGAACCCAACGGCACAATCTATGCACGAGTCTCTGAGATGGAACCTCCTGACGGCGTCGAACCGCACTGGCTATGTCACAGGTGGGCATGGGGAGCAGCAACACCAGGGAGGGACTGGGTCCAGGAGGAGACGGACACTCAGTCGCTTTATCCCGCCCTGAACGCGCGTTATATTCATGGATTTAGAATCAGCTCTCCCCCTCGCCTTCGTGCCCATCCCCCCCTCCTCCTCATCCTCCTCATCCTCCTCCTTCTCTTCACCCCCTTTTGCTCCTCTTCTTCCTCCTGTCATTCTACTCCCCTGCTCCCCCTCCTCCTTGCCCTCTTCCTGCCCCTCCTCCTCCTCCTCCTCCTCCTCCTCTTCCTCCTCCTCCTCCTCCCCCTCAGTCGAGGGGCCTGTCCTCCCGACGCTGGCGCCACTGCCGCGCCAACACGCATCGGTCCGCGCCCTCGGGCGCATGCCGCGCAGCACGCGCGCAGCCTCAGTCGCTTGGCCTTGAGCCAAAGCAGCCGCAGCGGGTCGCCGTGCTCGCCCGTGACGCCCTCGCTCCGCACGTCCCACACCCAGTGCTCGACTGGTGGTGAACGTGTCCAGGTTGTTGATCTCCAGCTCTGCCCGCCTGAGAGTAAGCTCAAACAAGATCGATATGCGTATGAAGACGGTCTTCGGGTCACCGAAGGTGCTCGACTCGAAACCTGACTCGATCCCTGGAGCACTCTGCCCGTCGAGTTCCAAGCCATAAACGGGTGTTGTACTTTCCACCATCCACGTGCGACGCACCTCAGTGCCTCTCATAGTACGCTGCCTTTGGTGAGGCCATGCACACTCTGCGCGTCCACGCAAGCTTCCAGTGGCAAAGCGGGTTGCGGGCTGTTTTTCGGCTCCATCCACCATGTCTCGTAGCTGTCGTGCGCTCAACTCACCCATCTGAACCTCTGTCAAGAAGCCCGCCAGCAGGAGAAGATGATCACATGCATCAGATAGCTGACAAAGTTCGGCACCTCAGGTAGTGCGAACAACGTGAGCTTGTTTCCTCGAACAATGCTCCAGAACGTTGCATGTGCCTCCTGGTCCTTCGCCGTCCTCGACCAGGAGATACACTGCACCCCTCATGGCCAGGCCTTTGTAGTGCGGTTCCCTCCTGAACGCTGCATCACCATCCGTAGCTAGCTTCACGGGCAACTTCAGCTGATGCGTCAACAGGGCCGTGATATTCTCCTTCATGTACTTCAGCAACGCATTCATCTTCTTGATCTGACCTACCTTGGGTGCTTTGCCGTGTCTCTGTACAGCCGCCGAGTATATACATGTATCCACTTTCGTCATGGTACACCACGCGACAGCTCGCAGAAGGGACGGATACAGCTTCATGCTTTTCTGGAGGGTCATCTCCATCACTCCTGCCTTGCAGATTCTTGATGTACTCCGTTTGGTCTACCTCAATACTCATGTCATCCAGTTGTCTGTGGCGAAGCCCGCAGTGAACGAAATTCTTCTCATGCGTGGCCATTTTGCCAAAGACTGACTCCAGCGCCTGTATCATCTCGTTTACTGCCTTGTTTTTTCCAGCATACTTCAGGTCGTCGATGTGCGTGGAGATCGAAGACCGACCGACAGCAGCACTTGATCGAGTCGAAGGCCAAATAAGCGGGGAGCGCCGTTGAGACCGAATTCTGCCTTCTCCATCCGCAGTACTTCGAAGACGCAAGTAACACCCTCGAAACCCTTGACCTCACACAGCAATTCTGCCGATCCTGTCGGCAACTCTCAACAGATCTCGCGAATAGGCTCCTCCAGCAGCTTTGGGACTTCCTCAAAAGTCATACCCTGCAGAAGCGCCGAATATATGTCCGCGCTGCACAACTTCCACTGGTGTTGAGCCGTTAAGATATTCATCACTCGCTGTCCCAATTTGGTACTCGTTGCAGTGAATGCCTTGACTTAGTCATTTTGTCGATCTTTGAATTCACGTGCCGTCAACCTGCAACATATGATTCTCGTCATAGTACCGGTGCTTGAGTCCACTGCCGCTGATCTACCCACTTCGCGTCGATGAGGTTCCTGGCATTCCTCCGCAAGATCCTGGACATGGCCTTGCAACCTGCCCAGTGGCGGAACTCCTGAAGACGTCAGGCTCGAACTGCCGCTCGGTGCTCCACGTTCTCTTCCTGCGTCAGGACTCTGTCGTCGTGTTCTACCACTGCCTTTGCGGTGCCGTCCTCATAGAAAATTAGAAATTCAGGATGACCACATCGTCTTAATGTCCAGGGATTCCCGCGATGTAGGTTTCACTCAGCATCTTCTAGGCTTCCGCTGCAAAACCAATCTGCGTGACCTTCTCGGGCTGCAGAGAATCCATGATCTCCGCTGTCGGCTTGCAGTAGTTTGCCCCCTGGGCCACCCAAGCATCCATCACGTCAGAGTCCGTAATCACGTCACTCCTGTCGGTGACCGAGGTGTCCTGATCCTCCGTCACATACCTCAGCTGTTCTAGAGCGTCATCTTCGTCGGGTATATCTCTGCCCTCTTTCGGTATCGCCCATGGGGCCTCGACCGAAAGCAGCTCGTCTAGGCTCGTCCTTGACCTCCTCCTCGTTGGATTCCTCTGCGGATACTGCCGCCGGCGCTTCTTCGGCTGGTTGTTGAAGTCCAGGTGGGGGGTTTGGGATGTGCTGGCGTCGCGTCCGGGGGCTCGTCCTCTAGCCTCCGCGCCGCGCGCGCCGCTGGATTTTCTGCGAGCCCGCCGAGAATGGGCGCTTTGAAGTCGCGCGATGTTCTCGCCGCCAAGTGTCGACGCAGGTGCAGGAGGCCCACCCGCGCGCGGCGCCTGACCAGCGTCCCAAGTGCGCCCCCCCCCAAAAAACAAAAACAAAAACAAACGAACTCCGGTTTCAGGCCTGAACTCGCGCTCGCGCGGCGCAGGCCCTCCCCGCCGTCAGTTTGCTCGTTTGGGGGTGCGAGAGCGACTTACTTGATCTGCAATGCTCTCCACCAGAGGTTTCTTGCGGCCCGTGAAAGTTGTCTATGAGTTCCACGGGGCCTGCGAGGCTTTCTGGGGCCCCGCATCTTTGGGGCCCGTCAAGGGGTACGGGGTTCTACCGCTTCTACCGTTCCTCGCGGCCCTTAAGTTTTACGTGGGTGGGATGCGGCCTTAACGCGCGCCAAATGCGCGCCGCTACCCGGCGCGACGGCGGCGTAGACAACGCCGCCTCTTCAGGCGTATCCAGGCGGGGCCCTGCTGGCGGGGCGGGGCTCTACGGCCATTCGAATCTTTGGATTGAAAGAGAAGCGATGGGCGGGCGCCACGGGCGGGGCCCAACCCGAAAACAACTATAGGCGCCAACAATACATGTACATGCGGGGCCCGCGTTGACGACGCAACGCGCACCTCTGACATTTGGAAGCCAGCAGCGTCGACACCTCGGAAGCGATGAGTTTCGCTGGGCAGGCTTGCTCTTGGGTTCGCAGGTGCACCGCCCCCTGGAGCTCTGGGCAGCTCGCGCCGCCCTTGGCCCGGCGCCCCACGATGCGGGCGCGGCGTCTCGTCGGCGTCGAGCGGGCCCCACTCCCAGGGGCGCCTTCGCCGGAGAGATGGGGGGGGGGGAAGGTGGGGGAGGGGGGCCAAGACGGGGCCAGTCCGACGAGGGCGAGTCCCGCGTTTCTGGCTACCCCGAACCCCGAACCGCCCGGGCCGCCCCCCTCCCTCCGCCAGGGGAGCGTGCTTGTTCTTGAGGGGGGGGGGCCATTCCCACCGCTTCCATACTTTTTGAGCCGCCCGGGCCGCGAAGTCGATTTTACGCTTTTCGCAGTTTTGACCCAAGCTTTCTTTCAGATGGCAGAGGTGAGCAATGGACCCGCCGGTCGTCCTTGGCATCGGGGATCTGCCACTGTGCGCGCGGGGTGCCGGTCATAAGAAAAGACCCAAGTTGGTTGAGGTGTCGCGCACCGCGTGGGCCATTGCGCGTGCCCGACGAGCTAGACAGCGCCGAGCGCCCAGGAAAGTGAGGGGCGCAATCCAGATCAGTGCGGTCGAGTCCGAACCAGATTTCTCGCAGTGGCCCCAATTGGAGCATGCTTGGCTGGATGGCAGTTGGTTTGCAAATGCCGCCAGCGGCGGACAGGACGCGGGCCGCGCTGCGTGGCGGGTCAGCGCTGCCCATCCCGCGCAGGAGGTCGAAGTTGCCATCTCCGGGGCTCAATTCCCGATGGCCCCTGTGACGTTGGTCGCGGATGAGGGTCGCCTGCCCGCTGGTAATTTGCGTCGCTTCGCGCGACCCCGCCCCGCCAGCCCATCCAGGAACGATCGCCGGGCGACTTGCCGGAATCAGACAAGCGCGGAATAATGCGGCGGGCCAGCCGCCCCGGCCGCGCGTCGGGGGCGCAGAATCGGCGGGGGCTAATGTTGAATAATTTTATCGAAGACGCCTACGGCGAATCACCGCCGCCCCCTGCCTTTGTGGAAGCGCCTATGTGGCCGAACGTTGAGGCCAGACCTGCCAAGCCATCGGACCATGTGTTCCCCGAATCGGTTTGGAAAGCCTTCGGGGAACACGTGGGCGTCTTGATGGTCATCGTCGCCGTCTTGGAGGCCTCTTGGGCGATCTTTCGGCGATCTTTGGGGGCTCTTGGGCCGTCTCGGGCCGTCGGAAGGCCGAAAAAAGGGAAATGCCCAAATCCATCAAAAACCTTGGAAAATCAGTGATTTTGGCATCTTTTGGCCTTCCTGGAGGCCCTCTTGGGGGCCTCTTGGGCCCTTTTGGGCCAGCTTCGAGCCAACTTCGGCCATCTTGGTGGGTTCCTGGCACGTCTGACGCCGTCGGGAGCCGTTTTGGGGGCCTTTCTGGGCCAACGGGGGACCCTCTTGGGGCGCTCCAGGGCCGTCTTGGAGGCCATCTTGGGCGTCTTGGAGGCCATCTTGGGCGTGTTGGAGGCCTCTTGGGCCGTCTTGGGGCCCTCTAGGGGCCATCTTGGAGGCCACTTGGGCCATCAGGGGGCTCTCTTGGGGGCCTCTTGGGCGATCTTGGGGGCTTCTTGGGCCGTCTTGAGCCGTCGGAGAGCCGAAAAGGCGCAAATGCCAAAA